ATGAGGCAATGCAATACAGCAATGCTGGAAAAAGTGTTGCTCAGATTGATCCTTTAACTTTTCATAACATAATTATTTATATATTTTTTTTCAAAAGAATGTTGATCAAACCCTTTCACCAACACCAAATTATGTCTATTTGATCCAAAATTAAAAAAAAAAAACATTTTTAGAAAAATACACAAAACTAAGCAAAATTTGAGTATTTGAAGTACCGGTAACTTTTCATTCATAATTGGCAGAGGAAATAGCGAGCATGTTGGTTGTTGACATTTAAGTAGATAAAGAAAAAGGACTGGTAGAATTAAATTGTGCAGCATGAGAGGCAGCAAATAAGACTGACCAAAAAAACCTCACCTTACATCACAAAGATTTGAAATCAATTCATTTACACCATCACGTGTTGAGTTAGCGTGTTTTTTTTCCATATTTCAGTTGTTGATTTGAGAGTAAAATACCAGTATACACATAAATTTATACAACTGGCTCTCGACAACTGGATCATATTTAACCCCCCCCCCCCCATTTCTCCTTCAGTAACAACCAATCTTGGACAAAGAATTATAATAAGAGAATACCAAGAATACCAAATTATGTGTATTGACTCTGAAAATATACCAGAGTGCAGACATTGCAATACTTGCAACTAACATTAATATTTGGAATATATTTACGGTTGAGGCATCCTTTTTATATTTACATCACTGTGCTCTCCAAATTTGCATCTTTCAGTTTCTTGTAAGGTAGGGTGAATACATACCCCCCCCCCCCAAATTATTATTGCACGGAATCATAAAATATGTATGCGTATAGACGCTGTGGAATGAAAACAATCTCGTCAACTGTCATGAAATGGGGACATCTCATCAAAAAAAAATCTTTGCATTGAATTATGTGCTGGACAAAAATAAGTTAATGATCTAAAAAATCATGCGTTTTTCACCAAATCTTTTGTAAGTTTATGTAATAAATAGTTGAATTTGTAAGTAAATCTGTTACTGGGACACTTGGTATTTACACGTCCAGGATCTTGGTATCAGCATATCAATAAGGTCACTCTGAAAAATAAAAAACAGTATTAGTTCACTGATATTCTATTTACATGTATGAACATGAATCCAAAGAGATTCCATTTTATTTTGATTGAGCTTTAATTTCTAAACTGGAAATTGATTTTAAAACAAGCAGCCTCTCGGCTGAGATAGCTCCACTGTTAGCAATACACATTTCAATTAAAGAACTGAAGATATCATTAGAAAATGAACAATATGTACAAGTATGTATAGCAATTGGACTTGTTGTTTTCAACAATAATTCAAAAATATCACTTTTTACCAAAAATGACATAAATATTCATCAAAATTAGATAATTGAAGATATCATCACAAAATGAACAAATCTGAGAAAGGTCCACTTGTAGTATCTATATATGTAATATCAAAGCAATTGGACTTGCGGTTTTTAACAAGAAATCGAAAATATCACTTTTTACCAAAAATTACAAAAATATTCACCAAAATTAGAGAATTGAAGATATCATCATGAAATGAACAAATCTGAGAGAGGTCTACCCAAGGTACATACACACCAAGTATCAAAGCATTCAGGCTTGTATTTTTCCAGAAGAAGTCGAAAAAGTAAAACATTGACACGAACCCGACGGACGCCGACGACTGACAATCACTCATATTATAAGCTCCGCTCGACAAAGTCGACAGGGGAGCTAAAAATGAAACAGTCTACTTACAGAGTTTTGGGGGCAATTTTTTCGTGCATACCATTCTTGGCTGTATAAACACATTAGTAAACCATTGCCAATAAATAAAGCAACCCACATAAACACATTCCAACCCCTCGATAAACCTTTATCTGTCAGAAATATGAAACAAACTGGAAAAAAATAATATTTACATATTGAACAAATTTACTGTGTTTTAATTTCATTACTTTGTCAAGAAAACAATGAGTTTTATTGTTATTTTACATCTTCGGGTAGATTTAATTTAGCGGATTTTACTTATACACTGTAACCTCAATATAATGAACACCTTTATAATGATATTCCTGATATAATGAACACATAGCGTGTCTCCCGCTCACAACAAACTCAATGTATTATGTGCTTCATTATAGTGAACATTTCACTATAATAAACTAATTGTATGTCCTCCAAAAAGTTCGTTATAACGAGGCTACAGTGTATTCATTAAAACCCAGAGAATAATGAATGCATTTACAGTGTATAATTATAATCTGATGTGAATGGCGCCCTCTAGTGTCATTAGCAGGTTTCTTTTTATTTTCAGTATAGTGAATTTAAATTTTGATTTGTTAGTTTTGGTTTATCAAATTGTTTGAAATTAAAATACTTCAAAATTATAATCACTAAGAATATATCTTTACTTAAAGAAGATAACTTGATTCAAATTAATTGTCAAATAATAATAAGTAAGATTAAGTGGTTTATTCTCAGCTGTGTCACACCTTCACAACTTTGCCGTGTCTATACAAGTTTTTTACTTGCTGAGGAAAGAGCAGGCAATGTGTTAATGATAGTTCTCAGAAGTAAATTAATATGTGTAAAAATGAACTGCAATGATAAGATACTTACATCCTACACCAGCAAACATAAGAAAGAGAGCCGGATAGAAGAACCGGAAAGTGAGAATCAAAACATACTCGTGTGCTACCGCTGATATCAGGAACGTTGATAACATACCCGGACCACGCTTCTTAAAACCCAATACCTGGAATTAAGCAGAACATAAAAATATAACTAAAAGATGAATTTATTTGTTATTAAAAAAAAAAACACTTCCCCCTTTGGATGAAAGTGTTACGCAAAGCCACTGTTTAAGATTCAATGAGAGCCTGTAGGAACAAGTGAATTGTCACACCGCCCCTCAAGGACGGTGATTGTCATAATGCCATTAAGACTACCAATTCCTA